TTATATGCTTTTCAGATTTAGAAACCAAACTGATCTGAAATTGTTAGAATAATTATAAGGTCAAACGTGTATATGGATGCTATCAGTATACTTAAGCGTCAGTATTAATAGGTAATTGATGCACGTTGTCTTTAAATACATTACGTAACTATCATACAATAAGTTCATATGTTCTACTGTGACTGTCAGGCGGCTTAAATTGTACGTTAACTCAACGATTTAACGTAGATATGCTTTGTCATTTGAAATTAAATCTTGACAAAATTAATCGATAACATTCTGACAACCAAAAACGTATTCATTTTCTGTTATCACAACAAAATTCTCATTTTTCTCAATACGTTTAGTTCACTAATGATTAGGACAGTTCACATTATGAATTTAACCTTGGTTAACAATGACTCTGAAATTTCGTCAGGTCTATTTTTTGTACATCGATAAAATCTGCTATAATTATTAATTGAAATTTACGAGAATTTTTTAAACATCCATAGAATCAAAAGTTGGTAATGTTGATTTAAGCTATTTACTGATAACAAACAACAAACATGTGTAGAATATAACAGTCTTCTGGAGATTTATGAATGAAATGATTTTTTCGGACATTTTGTTGAACTAAATTCTTTTAATAGTCTAAACAGCTGTTGATTACTAAGCATCTTTATGATAGTTTCTATTTGTTTTCATTCAGCTGTTCAATTTTATTTATATTTCTTTATAATAAGAATCTGATCGAATTCCGTTGATCAGTTGATGATAGATGAAACAGGTTTGAATCTATGCTGAGATTAATTTTACTGAAGTTAGAATTTCAAGCCAATTACACAAAATACATTGTGATTTTAAGTCAATTAATATAAAAACTTCACTGAACATTCACTTAATAGGATTCAGTCAATACTCTAAGAAATGCACATGACATAAACATGTCAATGTCATTTCAAGTTACACTAAACTATTGTTATAACGCGTATTACGAATATGGCAAAATTTGAATTTATAAAATGGTCATCATCCATTCCAAAATATAATAAACATTAAAATATTTAATAGTTGAATGCATGAGTCGATCAAAGCTAAACTACCATGGGAAATCTGGAAGCATTGGACAACCGTTTCGTCCTACTACGGGACTCCTCAGAAGTGCACATCCATGGACTCTCACTTTGGAAGATTGTTAAAACTACTAAAAATCTGGTAGAAATAAGATTAAAAAATACCATAATGTTTCCAATTACTGAAAACTTTCTAGAGATCGGTCGCAAAAATATATCCAATATTTCATATGCTTTTTTATTGTTATGATAATGAAGAAACAGTGAAGTTTGAGACAATTGATGGAAGATTTGCATATAAAATATTGAACGCATGGTTTTCAGATCTCACGAAAGAACCCTATAATTTTGTATTTAACTATAATTGGTTGCTCCCATCTGTCTTTTCCTTCATTACATTAGTAGTGGTAATGATTATGTCTATAAATGCACTTTTGAAATAATTCTTTCTTTTTGTAATAAATTAATAGCTAGATATAAGCAAATCAATGTATATAGGAGATTAAATTTTGAGCATTGTTCTTGATCCAGAATAATAAATGATTTGTAAGTTATAAAGCATGTGGAGCAAATATAATTCTTATTTGATTGATCAGTAACAGTAGCTGTCATATTCAAATTGACCAACTTGAATATTTTCTAATGAATATTTCGATTCCAGTGCCTACAAAACGTTCTAGTGAAAATAGACTAAATTAAATGATCTTATATTAATCTCACATTAATCAAATACAGTGTGCTAGACGGTCTTTATAAGATCTTTTTAGGGATTTTTTTATGAAAGACCTTTTTACATTCAGAACAATTACTAACAGCATAAGTTCTATTGAACATATTCCTGAGATAATTGATGCATCAAACAGACCATTAGGTAATCGCTCAGGCATTAAATATATTAATGTTATAAACAAACATGTTACTGTGTACAATCTATGAGGAATTAAGTCTAAAGCAATTATTAAGATAATCACCATTTTAATCACTTGCATATTCATACATATACACGATGTTTAAGTAATGTTTCGTGAAGAGAGGTTTCTGAAAAGTCGTTTCCAACGTTGTTTACAAAACTTTATTCATCAAACAATAAATAGTTTTTGTCAATAGTTAATAATTTTATTTTCAGTTTTAATTAACAGACTTATTATGTCTGTTTAGTTAGTTGTACCATATCTCGTACATTGATTTATTGAATGATTAGAATATTTATTTATATTTTCGCCTATTTTTAAATGAAAAAACTATTCAGTCACTTTTTTTATTCAACAAATTTTGATTTAATTACTATGATTGTTTTGTGGAAATTTGAATTTGAACAGTTATATGATATTGTAAATTGAATAAAACTTAAGACATTACAATACAGTTACTTAAAGGTACCATGTTTGGTACGAAACTTAAATATTTTGATCTCAATTGCTAGTAGGATAGGATATTTCCACTGCTGAAAGATCTCAAATGGTTCACCGGTTGATATTAGTCTGTGAATTAGATTAATTACAACAAAATAATAATAAATAAAGTCAATTATACTTCTCGATTCTTAATAATATGCGTTAAAAACATTATTATATTTGTCAAATATTTTCTGACTAACAAAAACACAATCTAAATCATGTTTATACATGATTTATTATTATTTTTTAAGGTTCCCTTTAATAATGAAAAAAGCTCAGCTTCCTGTAATAAATCATCAATCTGATTCACTGCTTAATCCTATTTTAGGACTGTGAAACTTTTCACATCGTTTTATATTAGTTATCAGAATAATAATAATCACTGACATCATAATTAACTACGAAACGATAATGTTAAAATAGTTGAATCTAGTAAACAGATATAACATTCTGATCCTATTCATGTACGTCATAATTTAATAATCAATCTTTAATCTTTTTTCTTGTTTGAAACTACAGAAAGAGATTAAATGTGTGAATAAGTGGTACAAATGTGTATATTTAAATATTTGGTAAAATATTAGTTTATCATAAACAGATTGTATGATGTCTAGTAGTGGATTCCAAGACGCGTGTTTCATCCTAGTCGAGACTTGTCAAAATGATGTGCTTCCATCTCAGCGTTGATGTTCACTCCGAGACTCGAACCCACTACCGTTTATTTCAAACGCCATCACATTATCTACTGAGCTACTGAATTCAGGTAGCCATTAGCTTGACCAATCGGATGAAGTTTCATTCGGTTTTGATTGGTTGTTTGAATCTTCCCATGGATATTTAGGGCTGCACTTGATCAGTCTCTTGAAGCGGACGGTAATGGGCTCGAGTCCCGAAGTGAACTTCAACTCTGAAATGCAAGTAGATCCAGCTAACAATTCCCAAGTAGGACGAAACGTATGTCCTAGATTTTACTGCCAGCCACCATCCATCTTTGTTTATAATGTTTGTGATTTAAGACAATATTGAGAAAATCAGCACCGGATGCACATATACCAATAAGAGACTGATCAATTTCAGTCCTAAACATAAATGGGAAGATTCAAACAACCGACAAAAAATATATTAAAATATTAAGTAATTTAGCGAGATATGATAGTTTTCAAATAATAAAATAACTTAGCAGACCAGAATGTTGTGAACCACTATTTCGTACCATTACGGAACTCCTCAGCAGTTAAGTCTATTCAGTTCGTGATATAAGCATTATTCGAAATGAAAAATTTTCATAAAGTTTCCATCTCAATAATCTAATTTTAGTTTATTAATATAAAAATTAAATATGTTTCATTATTATACAATTTACAAACTATCATAATGAAATTGATGTCTAACCAGACAAATTATAGGTGATAACGTTTTTTTTAGAAATTCTAGCGATTCTTGTGATGATAGCTACTATTAGCAGCTTACTCTTTGGATTTATAAAGTCTGAAAAATAAATAGATTTTAAACACTATTACACCAGTTACTGAACACGAACCAATAGGATATAAATGAAATGACATCTTATTTATAACTTTTATAACTGTAGTCAGTTTGAATTAGAACAAATAGCGATTATATCTGCTTACTATTAAGTAGACGAATATGTCGAACATGTAAAAGTTTCTGTGTATCGTCGAATTCCTTCAAACACTAGCTTGTGAATAATCTATAGAGTAAAGAGATGGTGGCTTATAGTAAGGTGACTTATTAATCTATCCTTAGAATAATTTAGATGTTTTCAGATTATATATAACACAATAAGTGTTGGAATCAGGTTCATGGATATGTCAGTTATTCGGACAAAGGTTTAAATGACGTATAGCTAAATAAAACAGTAAGTTATCTGTACTAGTAAGATTTTTTAAACCTATATAAATGCAACAATCTAGACAAATAACATTTCTGCTAAAAACAATGGAATGTTCTAATCATATCCTATTTTAATGATTTATAGGAATTCACAATCTAAAACCGTATAACAGCACAAGTGATTGATAAGATTAGTATCATGACTAAATTGATTGAAATAATAATTTATTTACAAAACCCAATATCATATATTCTGACTGGATATTTATCAGAATATATATATATATATATATATATATATATATATATATATATATATATATATATGGCTTTTAAGTAATACCTTTAAAACATTTAGTCAGGACAGAATGTTTTTGTCAGACAATGAATGAATAAACAAGATTGAAAATGAAGGTCACAGTTAACCAATCATTTTTCATTTCTGTTCCTTATATCTCTCAGTAACTCACTTTCAGTCAACTTTAAAAAAAAATCAAATATCGTACCATCTTTTGTGACTTATCTGGTAAATATGATAATTATACAAGAAGTCAATATGTATTCGAAATTTAAAAAAATATTACCTGAAACTATCAAGTTCAACCTTGGTATTGATATTTATAAACAATAGTGGATTAATTATTCTAATTAATCAGTATTATACATACATATATATAGTTTTTCATCATTTCAGGTTATTTAATTAATCTTAGAATATTAATATTGGATACAAATGAATTGCATAGTCTACCATCTGAAATCGGTTCATTAACACAATTAGAAAAATTATCTGCATCAAATAATCAATTGAAAAGTCTACCTACATCAATGGAGAGATTAAAGCAAATGAAAAGTTTACATTTGGCGAATAATTTAGTAATAGCAAGCTTTTTTAAAAATATAACATTTTATGTTGAGTGGTTCTGTTTATTTAACTATTTATTTTCATACTATTTACTACTACCACTACTATTACTATTACTACGACTTAAAGTAATCAGAATATGAAGTGGCTGGATTGTATTTGAAAAAAAGCTTTAAATCTAGATCATTCACTAGTTGCTATCGGAATTTTCAATATATATTTTTCTAATAACAGGAGATAATAACTGCAATTAGGATTAGTGTTTTATTTAACTTGATGAATAATGATATAAAAACACTAGTTGTTGAACAAGTTGGTATATATCTAGACTCAGTAACTCATTTGCTAATGCTTTGGTGTTTGAAATTGAATGTACTGAGTTCTGGTCATATTGTGATAATAAACACTGGAATATAAGCTCATCCTACTGATAAATCCCAAATAAGATGAAAAATCTTCTTGAATTTCACTTGCACAATCAGCGTATTGTGAAAATTCAAAACTAAAACATCATGGAAATATCACGTAAAGCCAAAATTAAGATTGAATAAATGTTTCAGGATCTTAATTGAACCTAGACCACCATGGAAAACCTGGGAGCACTGGACGGCCGTTTCGTCCTAGTATGGGACTCCTCAGCAGTGCGCATCCATGATCCCACACCCCGCAGGATGCGATCCCAGGACCTAGCAGTCTCGCGCCATGCGCTTAACCAACTAGATCACTGAGCCGATATCCAACAATGATTAAGTGAAATTTCTAAAATCTCTACAAAACCATTTATGTTTCAGGATCTATCCAACAAAAAATTAACTTTTGATTACTAATATCTACTTATGAGATGAATTTATGAATTTCTAATAAAATTGGTAGATTATAAAATCAATTTTCTTTGAAATGAAACAGTTATCACTGTCGGTACCAAACTATCATCTCTATAGGATGTGTATCCATGACCCAAAAAATAATGTACATACTGTAAGTACTTTAAGACTTGTATTTAATACAATATAAGATAGTAAAAGTTTACTACTTTAAAGTCCTACCTAAAGATAAAATTATTGTCTACTATTCTTTAATTTCAATTCATTTTTTTTTCAGTTTAAGTACATAATGAAAAATATCATTTGACTAGATAACCTATAACAGTTTATAATTACACTCTGGTTAACTTATGAGATAATTTAATTTAGTATTTTAATGAAAATTAAATTTATTATGTAGACATAATAAAAAATTCAAATGATCAACTAATGACTCATGTATTAATCTTAGTCTACTATTAGGTGAACAGCCTAGACTACTACTTATTTTAAATAATAGTTTTATTTTTCATGTCACAAAATAATTGATCATTTAAAATAATATCAGTCATTGATAAATGACTTATGTATTTAATATTAGATGGCCTGGATAGTATCAATTATCATATTAGAACAATTAACTGAACATTTATTTACATTCAAATTTAATTTGAATTATTAAATTAATTAAATCATATAACAACAGTGATAATTTAGCTTTTACTATTAAAAATCTACACTTGTTTTATCATTGTTTGCTGTGTAATCCTTTGGTTTCAAATAATGTTTATGGTTCATTGAAATGTGATTAAAATAGTTACTAGACTAATTAAATTTACTAGGTTATTTCCATAAATATAAATAAACATTTACCATGTGTGAAATTATTACTGATCCAGTCAAAAAATATTGATCGTTGTTAACAAAGTGATAAGCGATTGAAATGAATCACTTAGTAAATAAGGGAACATTTTACAAATATGCATTCCTAGTATGAAACTTTTCATTACAGTTATCTAATCCTCAATGGTGCTGAAATTAATTTCAGTAGATAATAAATATCAGGTACATTTTGTATTTGCTATTTTCGGTAAAGGTATATTGCTTGTGCATGGTCAATTTTATCGCTACTTTCCCTCAAATGCCCTGGTACGGCCGAGGGTGGGGAGAGTCAGCTCTCGCACTCGAAGTGCTCACATATGGCCACACGTATACAGCCACTTCTAGGGAAGTCCTACTCAATGCCTCCTCGCACCACGGGCGTTGTTTACGAAATTGAGAGGACGATAAGCGAATGTTCGGCGCTTTAACCGGGTTAGTGGACAGGATATGGGTTTAAGAATCCTGAGGGGACAAAATGTAAATGGACCTATTGTCAGTCACCGGCTACCATGGGACTGCATCTTTTGACGTCACTCCACTGCCTTGTGGACCAGACCTTTAGGTCGAAGGCTCCAGGTGTGGCTACCTAAGAAAACCACCTGCTTCGGTCTGGACAGCCCTCGCACAAACCGAATGCTTTATGTGGCGCATATCTATTTGGTGCCTCCTTGTACCAATGTTTATGTGTTTAAATAAATAAATTTTATCGCTAATCACATAATCAAATCAGACAGGTGGAGTTTTGAAAAATTATACACACTTCTAATCTTCAGGGACAATTGAATATATTATCACCTGTGTAGTTATTTCTATTTAAAATTGGCAAACAAATAATTTTGTTAATGCTTAGAAATTTCTCATAATTTTCGTTGATAAACTGTGAAATATTTTATTCCTATTTTGGGTAGTTTAACGTTCATACATCAAACTTTGATCATTCATAAAGTCATATTTAGTTTCAGAAACAACGTGACTTGTAAATAGTATGAGTAAATAAACCACAAAGAATTCATACTTTGCATAATCAAGCAATGGATCATGAGTAAAAAGCTACTTAGAGTTCAAACTATCATAATATTTCTACAACATAATTCCCATCCAATGTTTTTTTTTAAATGGATAATGTGCTAAAAGCATTTACGTAAAACTAATGTTCTATCGAAAGATCTATTATATGTCTGTATATCATTCTAAGTAAAATAGTCGATCGTGTGCGTTAAAACTAGACTGAAAAAAAATCGGTAAACAATCAGTTACCGACGCTTCACACTAATTATTAATTGAATCTATTCATACTTTAAAACTAATAATGTTAATTGGTTTTTTATTACCCACTTAAAATACGATGACACATCATTCAAATAATCAATACTTCAATATGTTAAAACCGTTTTTCTAGCCTAGTGTTCCAAATCGATCAACTACACGCCCAACCAGTACTACGAATCATGAGCCGACGCAGATAAGTTCTTGTTGATCGGTTATTCGCAAGCTTCTCTCTGTTCCCAAAAGTTAGCAATCAACTTCTACAATATTTATATTATAAACAGATGTGGTTTGTATACAGATATACCGGATCTCATCACACCATAAAATAAAAAATAATAATTATACATAAAAAAAGCCAAATGTGGCTATGAATAGAGAAGACTGTAAGTAATAGACAGGCAACAAATCAGGAATAGTAAGTCGTGTGATAGTAGTTAATGGGTTAACAAAAAGCTTTTGATAAACAGAATACATATACATGATAATCTAGTTACTCGGTAATTACACAATACGAATATAAATAACAACACATGAATTAGTTGTCGGAGTTACCATTCCTTCAATTTTCGTTCTGATACCATAACTTGTTTTTATCATATATATAATTTTAAAAAATTGATTGACTGATGCAGTAATGAATTTTAATGCGTTCAGATAATTGTCAATAAAATTAAACTTGGTAACCTTTACATTCGAATGATGACTATCAGTGTAAATCACAAATAAATAATATTATAACAAGTGAGAATCATTTACTATTATTCGCATATTATACCATCAGGGAACTATTATTTTTGCGACAAAAAATGTAACGCACCATAGACTGGATAGGAGTTATTCTTCAAATACAAAGTAGCAAATAGAATCTATCTTCGTTGGCAGTGTTCGAGGGGTAATGGACGGTAATATTATGATCATATTCTATATAATGAAGATAGTATTCTTCGCACAAGTATTTTTAAGTTATTTCTAGCCGGGTGATTAATTACTTGAGCCCATTTTCTTTGGATTTTCAGTATTTTAAGAAAAGAATGCTGAACACACACATTCAGAGGGCACTTCTGCTAGGGTAGAGAAATACTTGATTAGGAATGCCAATGGTCATTAAGCAACCAATCACTTTTCACAGTGTAGCCTAAACTTCCGACTATTTCATTATTGCAAGCCATAAAAAAAAGCTTTAAACTATATATTTTGTTAAATTAACGCCTCCTTGTTTTTTTACCTAACTTTTAAAAAAACTAATAACTACAGTTCGCTGAATTTCCTAAACCAATATTGAAATTAACGAAGTTGGAGTTCTTAGATTTAAGTAGTAATCATTTGGAAACTTTGCCATCATCTATAACTGAATTAATCAATTTAGAAAGTTTATTATTATTCGACAATCGTTTGACCAGTTTGCCAGAAGATATTGGTGAATTACGAAATTTAAGATGTTTATGGTTGGGTGATAACAGACTGGAAAGTTTGCCACAATCAATTGTTGAACTACGTGGATTGATATGGTCACCACTATTATCACCAAGTACAACAGTTGGTGGAAACCCTTTAAAAGATCCACCGATTAAAGTGAGTTTTTTTAGTGAATTCCTATTAGATATTTTTGTATAATGGGTGAGATATTTACACTTTCCTGATGTTCACATGATAGCGCAATATTTTCTTTGAAGGAATATGAAGTACATATTAGATGATGTAGCAGTGTTTAAGGGGAAACAGCTTGAAACCGGTCAAAACACTATATGTTCCTAAACCTTATAGAACCCAGAATTTATAGAACAATGTAATATATTAATGCTTTTTGTGGTCAGGGAAGATTTAGTAAACTACCTCCAACATTCATATCTCTTCTTTATTACTTGAATATCTACTTTCTGATTATTTACACATTTCACCATATAGTGTTGTGTAATTTTTGATGACAATGGTGGTCTTCCTTAAGTTTTTCCTCCAAATCTCAACCTCATCACAATACTTACAACTATTTCTTTTATTTATTGGTTGTATAGTCTACATAACCGTTATCACCGATGGATGACATTATTAAAAAAGAACTTTTGCTTCTCTGAACACTTTCATTAAATCTTGAAACTAATCAGACTTATATTGGGTACATTCAAGCATATATCCTAGTAAAAATAACGATATTTAACTTCTGAAATGAAGATATGTTGTGAAAATTTACCGTTTCATCTGTAATGAAGATAATTTTTAGGAATCTGTCAGAAAATTCAACTTTATTTTTAGTATTTTCAATATTTAAAGCTAAGGTTATTGATAATGAGATAACTGGGAGTTAGGTTAGATGAATTTATGCTCATATATATTGTACATGTAACAATGTTTCAAGAAATAAAGATTTCCACTCGAGTGTATAATATCGTAAAGAAGTACTATCCAGATTTATTTGAAATACTATAACTTTAAACAATGATGTATCAACAAAATTTTATCATTATATTTCAGGTATGCTGTGCAGGACTAGAAGAACTGGATAGATATTTCGGTGTAGAAATAATTAAATGAATCTACGCGTGCAAACAAAAAAAATTCTGTAACAATTATACACCATAAATGACTAGTACTTATCTAGACAAAATTCATTGCTCAGATGAACATGATAAACAATTTATTGATATTTTCAATGATATATATATGCTACTCACTTGTCGATTTTGCTTACTAACAAGACTATGAATACGCATTGAATAGCAATCTAGCTAAATTTCGCATATCTCACTAGACGAGTTTTTGATGACTATACCATAATAGTCAGTACCTTTGTGTAACGACGTAAGTTTGGATTGAGTCAATAGGAACATAAGTTATTCTGTGTGGTGTTTCATCATAAGTAATCTACCATTAATTTTAGAGATGGCATGACATTTGCGAACTAATATCATACTAGATATAAAGTATTTTCCTTTAATGAGATTCAAAGTATAGGTTTGCCTATGTTTTCTGTTTGACGCATAAGGGAAGAATGAAGATGTGACATTATTGCTTTTGACACAATTATGCAGTTCTGAATAGGGTTACGAGTTGAACAACTTTTATTTGCAGTTTCCGAACTATTTTTGCTAGTCAAATGTACAAAAGACACTCTAAACTTGTGTTATTGAGTGACACAGTATTTCTCCACATAACTCTTCAAATTATGCCGAAAAGGTATTGATTTTGGATGCAAGTTTGTGGACTGTTAAAAATATTGAATTGATTGACGTTAGATATGATAATTTAATGGTAACTATGATACCTTTAAGCGACTTTAGAACTATTTTAATTAGCTATTAATATATATTTTTAAATACCTATAACTTCTGCCTATTTCCCGATAATTTACGTAAATACAATTTACAAAAAAATACTTTGTTTTGTATTCTTGTTTTCTTAAGCTTCTAAAGTTCACATGATGACACAAACTTAAGAATTGAGATATAGAACCCACTCATTTGCATAATCATATAAATTAGACAAAATGATTAGTTCCAACCAGTACAAAAAATGACATCGTACAAACTCTTTTATTTTTACTAGTTAAATTGGCAAAAAAATAAAATCTATAATTACACAACACCACACCCATTATAAGTACTACATCTATTTAAGAGATCGGTTAGGAATTTAATTTACTACTTAGTTATGATATACAATAATTTGTACAACAACAAAACAACTACACCATACTTAACAATCCTTCCAATGGAAATGTTAATTTTTCTTAGTTCTTAATAGATTCAATTGAAATCACGAACCAATTTGAGTCAGACCACTATCGAGAACTAGACGATGTTTCGTCCTAGTCTGGAACTTCTCAGTGTTGCACATCCACGACGCTGAACGTGAAACACGAATCTGGGACCTTTGGTCTCGAGCGAATGCTTAACCCCTAGACCACTAAGCCGGCATCCAACAGTGTTAATGTCTAACTTCAATCAATCCACGATATTGCATGACCATCTTTCATTGTCTTCGGTGGGTAAATGTCTCACACCCGACACGTGCTGGGCACGACTTATCACTAAAATCGAGGAAATTTCCTCTGAGAACTAGCCATTGGTGAGCACAAAATCGTTGATATACACTGCTGGGGTATCCCATACTACAATGAAACGGCCATTTAGTCCTTCTGGGTTATTAATGGTGGTCTAAATTAGATCGGTTCACGATTTTAATGAAATTCAACAATCTCCACAACCCTATGATTAAACATATTTATCAAGAAGTATTTAGCTTTGGTATGGTTTGCATGATTTTTATAATAGCAAACCAGTACATCAGGCAACAATTTTATTTTATTAATTACTTAAGAGAAATCCAAAAAAGGAGAATTTCGTCGCAATATTTCCAATTGAAATATAGTTGGCCAACAGGTTTCTCTTTTGAGATATCAAACAAGGAGTAATCTATCAACTAAAATACCAGTCAACTGTTTTATTTTCTAGACGGGAAGTATGAGATAAAAGGAAAGAGGATAATTTGTAAAAACAAATTGATTTAATTCGAAAAATCCCTAGAACAAATACAGTATATATATAGTATACATGTACATAAGTAGGTAGGTAGTAAAAGATAAATGTTCGACGTACAATAAAAAAAGTTTAAAAAAGAAACAAAAAAAAGAAACTGGTTCTTCTCTATGTGTACACACTAAAAAATGTTAGGGATATTTACAGTTAAGTAAACTATTAAAATATTATGTAAGGCACAAGTGAATTATTTGTGCGTTTATTTTTCCATAAATATATATATATATATATATATATATATATATATATATAACAACTGTTCAACCAGAACATTTTTAACTAGGCCAGTAAGGATACTATTGTAGTACTTAAAATGATGGAATGTTTAAGGTATAAACAAGGTTGTAAAATGCATGTAATCAATTATTCCGACAAAATAAATAGGTGAAACATTGAGGAAAGAAGGAAAACAAAGTGGGGAGAGAGCATTTAAAAAAACACAAGACAAATTGGCACGATAACACCCTAATAAAAGGCTTAAAATCAGAGAGGTAAACAGTCACTATGCATAAGCCTTTAAAAAACCTGGATAGCAAAACAAGTCAAGGCTGTTAGTAATTGCGGTAATATTAGTCGTTATACAAATAGATTTAGTTCTAGTCGATAAATGCACTAAGTTTATTTACAAATACTTAGCAAAGAAAGAAAATGAACCAATCAAACTAGTTTTTTAAATGTTGATCGTAGAAAAAAGCAAAGAAGGGAATAGTGTTGACTGAAAGCAATTCTTTTTCTATAACCAACTTGGCAAAATGCTTCTTAAGAAATTGGGAATAGACTATAACTACTACTGTTATGTGGTGAATTATGGCTAGCCGATGGTGATGGACTGCTACTACCAGATGATTGCACAAAGGATTGTTGTTGAAGTCGACAAGAAGTATCCACACTAGTACCTTTTGGTATCAACCGCATGGTTGTAGCAATGTTGGTTATTTTTAAGTTAGTTGACAACTGTCCAGGGTCGAATCTCTTTGAATCCATTGGAGACGATGAAGTAAGCTCACCGGGAACAGGTAAAGACCTGCGTAGAGAAAAGAGATGAGAGGAATTATTCGAAAAACCCTGATCCCCAAAAAAGACTAGATCTATATCACGTTGTGATGGGGCACTACGGCTGAGATTAGATGTATTGAAACACCTAGATGATGAAATGAGACAACCCTGAAATTTGTCACTTTTTACGTAACTTCTGTTTAAGCTTTCATTGCTATGTGAGCGCAATAAATTAACAGGTAGACTAGGTTTTCGACAATATGAAAGAAATTTTGAACAACCTGTGGGAGAAACCTGGCTTTCAAATGATTCATTCCCAACAACATTCGCATTACACTTCTGCAGCTGTTCGTATTCAAGCTTTGGTTCTTGAGATATTGGGGTGGAAGGACTAAGTTCTCTCACTCTAGATGAACTAGTTGATGGCAAGTTACTTGGTAAACGAAATGCTCCATGTGCATGCAAAATACTACGATAAACTGGATGACTTCCGTCGGTAGATACTGGCCTTGGGGTCGGTGGTGCGCTTGCATGTGAAGAAAGACGACGCTGAGCAAGCAAAGTCGGTCTTGCGGTACCAACTGTCGATGATGAACGACGAAGTCTAAGAATACTAGCTGGTGAAAGTGTAGTGGTCAATTGGATGGGATGTGGTGGCATAACAGTTGAGCATGGTTCAAATTTCAAAGTTTGTAAACTTGTATAAGATGAAAGAAAAGGTTTGAATTTAAGCATCTGTATGGCAGATTCAGGACCCGGAAGCACATGTCCAGGAACAAAAGACGATGGGGCACGAGAAACAGATAGTAAAGATCGATACTCTTCTAAGGGTGAAGATATCTCTAGCTTAGACAAACCAGTGCAAGGAGACGGTAATAATGGATTAGAAGATTGAGTAGGTGACAATAACGCGGAGACTCTGCTACGTTTTTCTTCAGTTGGGCTTATTCCAGACTCAGGAATTGGTCTAACCGACCCCCCACAGTGTAGCGAACTTTTCCCGACAGATCCTTCTGAAACTCCTGCAAAAGATGAAGTAGCCTCCAAACCAAGGTATGTTGGTCTTTCCCGTTTCTTAGATAACACCTTCGGAGACATTGGAGTTAAATTTAGTGATAATGATGACGAATGAAGACCAGACTTTAACATAGAAGAGTTTTGCACCTCTGCGGACATGCTTAGAATTGGACACAAACTAGCAGGGCTGTCAAAAGTCGGAGTGCTATCGATTGGAATAGAAGCTTCACTACAACCAGAATCATGAAGTTGATGCTCAAACTCCAACAACTGTCCAAGAAAATTAAAATTAGGAGCAACGCTGTTTCGTCCAGATTTAACAACACTAGAAAATCGATAGAAATGTTAACAATTAAGCAACGGGAGACAATAAATTTAACTTCATTATTATACAATTACATAAACTACTCCTAACTTGACAAGCATAATGGGGTTGTATTATGCAATGAGAAAAAAAAAGTTAAATCTGTATACAATTTGAAATTCTTTCCTAATTCAGCAAAAGTAAAAAACAAACCGTGGCTAACTTGATAAGTTTACGGACAAAGATAAAGTAAATACTATCTATTAAAAAAATAACAAACATTTTGTAAATATTATATCTAATTTACAAAAAAAAGGTTGAAAAGTGTATATCTTTACTGAGGAAGAAAAGCAACCTGTCATGTACCGAAGTTTAAAGTTAACTACCCCGCAAAAAGAACGGTGTTTCAAAATAATGCGATTTAACACTGAACGACCATAAAAATTTAGTTCATTGAAATATTCTTTCCTAAATTTACATTTTCACTTCATCCAAGATAACACTTTAGTGTAAGGAGCAGCCAACATCGAGTAACACAGCTAACAATTTTAACCGCTGCAGTTGTCAAATTCTATAAACTAACTTATCCTATAAATGCAAAACTACGTACAGAACTTAAACAATAATTCACCAATGATCCCATCGCACAACGCGCACTGGAAATAGAAACTGTATTATTGAGAGGCAGGCCCGTCTTCTAAAAGGTAATCAACATAGTTAACATCACGAACAACTTATTTTGATGGTTACCAGGGGAACGTATAAGTATTTGTATCAAAATTGTGTGCATTATCAATCTATAAGAGCTGCTACGACACTCCTCTTTGTGTAGAAACAATTTGAATCTTTTAATTTACTTATTATAACTATATACAGGCACATAAAATTTACTTAACAACATAAGTAGTGATTATTTTTAACATGCCTATCAAGATCATCTGGTATTTCGATAATGAAGACAAAATTTAGACGCCCTCTACAAGATGACTTGATAAAAGTAGAAATTATTAGCTTTTTATCACAAGTAAAATTTGTCAATGACGACCAACAGGTTTACATTATTTTTCTATCAAACAATTACTGATTATTACGAGATAAAATGAGTAGAAAAGTAATTTCTACTGAATAAATGGATGGTATGAATCGATGAATGCTATAATACATCAACAGAAAAACTACACAGCATACGAGTAATGTCGCACAAATAGATTTAGAAGAAAGATAATACTATACTACTTCGATAACACTAAGTTAGTCACGAAACTTCTTAAAAATAATATCATTCAGTCAGCACAAAAAAACTAAGACATCCTTTTGCATACAAAATTAAAACTCAACACAGATGTTAGGTACGCAAGCATACAACAAACTAAAATAGAAGTAAAGCATCTAAATCAAACTTACTCGTATGCTTCATGCATTTTCATTCTACATGAATACATAAGATAGGCAATTGCTAGAGTAGGTGACCGAGATATTCCAGCTGAACAATGAATCAAAACTCGTCCATGGGCTGCTTTAGCAGACTCTGCAAATAAATCGTTTTGAAAAAAAGATCATTACAGTGTATTATACTAGTATCTTTTGAAGCTGATCGTTTTATAAGTAGCATATATAATTAGTTCTCAGAGTCTAAACAAACTAAAACACGTTACAGAAGGGAATTAGGGCCACGAAAGGACGAGAGGTTGGAAGTATCATTTTTGCACGCAGAGTTCCGGTTTGAATTGATGTATCGTCGACGCCTCAACCAATAATTGAGATTTCATTTACATAAGATATAATGACGATACCTTCATTGTTTGTGAAGAAGATATGGACCTAAATGAGATTTTGAACCAATTCAATTATCGTTGCCGCTTAACTCAATTCACATTGGAAGCAGAGGCGAATGAGGAATTTCATGTTCTTGATATCCAGTTGAAAAAGTCGAGTGGTTCTTTATAGAGATCTGTGTATAGAAAACCGACCTGGAATGGTTAATATACGAATTTCCACAGGTGGGTCCCACTGATTAGAAAGAGAAACCTAATTAACTCTATATCCTTAAAGATTAGGCGAATATGTTCTGATGACACAATAGATGACGAACTACTTCAACTCCGACAGACACTCATAAAAATGGTTATCCACCTAGATTCTTCGATAGAAACTTAACATCTATACAACATCCTGAGAAAGTACCAACGGTTCAAAATAAAACTCGTTTTATGATAATCGAACTTAAAGGAGATACGGCCGCTGAAATTTTAAATAAACGGATCTCAAAATCTCTGAATAATACCTTCTACATAGCTAAGTTCCTCATTGCCTTCTCAAGCCGGCTTACTATTTACGGATGTGTTAAGGATAAACTTCCGCTTTGTGCCACATCGATGTGCATCTATAAATTTATTTGCTTTTTTGGGGCAGGTTACATCGACAGCACAAAGCGATCACTTTCTAAACGCACCTCAGGACATTACCCAATGTGGTTTTTAAAAGAACGCAAAACATTTACCAGTTCAATACAGCAGCATCTAATCGACTTTGGACACGTCGCTCTGAAGGAGTCTTACTTTAAAATAATCTACACAATTAATGAACTGGGTAGAGGGGAGGTCGAATCAAAAACTTATGTACTGCTCAAGAGTCGGCGATCCACCAATTCAAGCCCGAATTCCGCGTGCAAAAGCGACACATCAAACCTCATATCCTTCCTTAGCCTAATTCCCTTCCGTAGTATGTTTTAGTTTTCCTTAACTAGTGTTTTATATATCGGATTCCTGGTCCAAAACGAGAAATGTGACCAGATCACCAGTCACTTTGGTTGTGAGCAACGCCTTACAAAGTCCTACGGTTTACAGAACCTCTAACTAGGTAGCAGTGGTTCGGCAACAGATACTGACACAATACAACTATTATTTTCTCTGTGGTTATATACCATAAACTGATTACCTCTCCATTTAATATTGGAATCCGAATTCCGTAATATGTAAAATCAAAAGTGTTTCAAATGAATTATCTGACTAAATAAGGGTCTGTATTATTTCTCACTTTATCATCGCTTATATAGCGTTGTCATCGGGATCGAGTAGGGGCCCAGAAGAAAAGGTAAGGTTTAAAAAGCTATAGCTCTCTCAGAATATAAATTCTGTCTGCCACAATATTATACATCGAAATAAATACTCAAATCAAACTACCTCTAATGACCAACCACTAAGGATGAGAAGAGGTACAAACTGCCGTAAAATTTATGAAAGTACTTATAACAAAGTAAACAGAAGAATTGTAAGGACGAAAGCAACATGAGATAGTAGCTTTCGAGTTTTCAGTCAGTCAGCTACAACGTAGGACCAGGCACATATCTATGCATCGAGTTTTACTCACTAGCTAAAATATGTCTTTTAAACAGCTCTAAGCAAACTGTTGTGGTAAACGTAAGCTAAGATATTGGTATTTACTTATTAGACTAAAAAATGTACAACCATATTAAGAAAAATCAGGAAAAATATCTTATTTTAATGGATCTCAACATATATATTACATCATTATATTCGTTATGATTATTGGAAACTATAATAATGGTTAGTATCGCGGAAACTCAAAGACCAACCCACAATGGGTGGACCAATGTTTAAACATACAACTTACATCAGTTGATATCCGGATGTCTAAGTCAATAAACTAGAGCTCCACAGTTAGTAACATACCATTTACCATTCTTTTTAATAGTTACTAAGTTGTTAAATTGTACGCACAGAGAAAATAATAAGCAACATAGTTTTTTAAATTAGTTTTCATTAAGGATAAAGACATAAAATTTAAATAATTACCAATAAATGCAAAAGCATCTTTGAAGTATGGTGTCATGAGATCAGTATAATTGTCGTTCACAGGAATTTGATAAAAATTTTGACTGGGAATATGTGAAGGAATACTGCCTTCAAGAGATACATTAAGAATATGAGTAATTCCATAACGTTTACAAATAGTTGGGGAATTAGCATCTTCCTGACTTCCTAGTATCAAATGTGGCAGAATTGGAGACGGACGAGTTAATGTACTACCAATATTATCAACTTTCATTTCTATAATCGATCTTGAACGATTATCCATAGGTACATCAGGACTAAAATTATTTGAGAATAAAGTGATAAAAAGCATTGTTTGTTTTCGTTGATAAAACTAAAACAATGGAAGTCAGAATGATTAAAACCGATGTTGAGTTTCCTGACTGATATAAATTTACTGTTAACTGAAAATAAAAAATTTCGAATGAACTAACGTATATTCTCAAAACCAAAAAAAAAAAACTTAATACATCTGATGCTATGGAATTTCAATGTTTTGGAATTAATGCACATAACTTAAAAGCAGTGAGTACTTTATAGACGATTTCTGCACACAGTATGGAGACAGGGTTGAAAAAAGTATTGGTGGTGCAGGTTTTACTAAATCGATTGATAAATTCCCTAATAAGATATGAAAAGAGATGTAAGAAAATCGAAATACTAAAAGTATAAAAGATACAACAATATAAATTTTAAAGAAAATGGTTGAGGGCAATGAAACGTATGCATAGAACGAAATATTTTGGTATATAAAGTCAGTAAATTAGATTATCTCCGATTTACCCATACTGACAGTTTCAAGATGTAATCCGGACGAAACTAATAATTATACATTTAATTCCTTGAAGATATGGCTTTTTATTTCATCACAGTTGTTCTAAATGTGATCAAGTGGATGGAAATGGCAATCAGAACGGATTCTATTAATAACAAACGAATCTACAACAAACTGGACTGCTCCGTCAGTACTTTAGATCTCACTGAGCCCCAGAAATATCAGATTACACCGAACCTATAACGGAGAAGGGCCAATACTATGTAAAAAAAGTAATATTGACTAATTTACTCATTAAAATAAGTAACGATAAGGATCAAAACCTGAAGTAGAGAGGTTTTCAACTCATTAATCGATAGACTAAAATGTTGATTCATAATTTAACTACTTAATATTGCCTAATATTTTGGTATCCTGAGTAGTATGATTATCAGATAGGTATGTATAGCTGAAACGTAGTGGTTCGTATGATGCGAATTCGCCACTTAATCTAATCTCTTACACCCAACCAATAATTTGGTGATCTAGTTTGATGCAACCGATCACGTGATTTCCGCCCAAACTAAAATAATAGATAAAACACTAACTGTTGTGTCATTAAAGAGTCTTGAGAAGCTAAAATATTATACTCCAACTAAATTTTTCGCAAAATAAATGGTTGGGTTGACAAGAAATTGACATGGTTATCAAAAATAAGAGATTGCATGGAAAAAAAGAGACAAATGTTGCATAATTTTCAGTGAAAGAGAATGATTTGTATTATCAAGAGCATGCAAATGGCCGACATTTTGGTCTAGTTAATAAGGCCTGAAATGCTTTTATAAACAAATAAAAATATCGATATTATTGTTTATAATTAGATCGTAAATCGAAATTAATGGTTGAACGAAATTTTCAACACAGTAAAAATTTACTGATCTAGAAACAAATGGAGGTACAAAATAGAGGTTATACCTTAATGTTCTGGAAACCCCACCTGAAAACTGTTCCTTCGATGGAATTTGGAAAGAAGATGGAGTAGACTTTGATGAAATTGAACTTGAAGATATTGATGAAATAGAAGTTGGATGAGTGGTCGTGGCCGATGCAGGTAAAATGTCATACTCGGATGCCGGAATTTTAGAAAAGTCAGTAGAAGATGAATAACCTAAGCAGGCATCTAGTATTTGTTCTAATCGGCAGTCACACTGGTGATATTCAGCAAAATCTTCACCCGCAAGTTTTTCTGTATTAGTCCAGCATAACTCTGGAAATGATGCTTGAAATCCCAAAAATCCTCCTATGTAATGGGATGAGAGAATACAAATAGTTATTGATACCAAAGAGATATACAGTGAAATGTGACCAAGACGACATTAAAGTTGAGCTAGAAAACCAATATATCTCATTTATTTATTTAAACAAATAAATACTGGTACAAAGGGGCACCAAAATATATAAGCGCTACACGATAAAAATGAAATGGTGAAGAAACAAAGGCAGGTGAGTACAACGGAAAAAGGAAAAACCAGTGAAAGTGAAAAAGATAGTGGGAGAAGCATTTATGACAGAAAAAATACGACCAGAAAAGATTCTCCCAGTTAAAGAAGTTCCTCTCATTCACATGAAGCAAAAGAAAACTACAGCACGACCACCACGGGCTTATCTTCTGGACCATGTCTGGTAACGTCTTAAGCCCGTATTTCATTATCACCAGGACCCCAGTTAGGGAGCCTTAAAAGAATGACAGGTGTCAGTCCTATACATCTTTCTTTCATACCACAACAACACGGAAACACTGGCTACTTCACTTCTTCCAACCAGTTCCAACGTCGGCAAATAATGCAAGATGTGAGATTCACTGGGCTGACGTTCGTAGTACACGTCCAATGTTCCAAGATGGAGAGACCGATCAAATGATCGTCACCATGCCCAAATACACGTTCCCAATCCTCCCCATTGCTAATATAGTGTTGCCACTGCATGTCAGCAATCCTTCATAGACAATGATGAATAAACAAAGTTGCTTAACATCATCTCAGAGGCCAGGTTTCACAAGCATATAGCAAAACAACTCTCACTAGCGCATTATAAATCTGACATTTCGCAGACAAACTAATACCAGCAAACAGCACCAAAGATGAACCAGATTGGAACAATCAGAGCGACCATTTATTTAGGTACATGGAATACTCGTACAATGTGGGAGACCGGGGTAGTCTTCCAAATTGCTGCAGAAATGAGGAGGTACAACCTAGAGGTGCTTGGGATCAGTGAACCACATTGGACGCAAGTTGGACAACAACGACTAACTTCAGGAGAGTGTCTGTTATACTCCGGTCATGAAGAAGAAAATGCCCCACATACACACGGAGTTGCATTGATGCTGTCCAAACAAGCACAAAAGGCACTGATAGGATGGGAATCTCATGGACCAAGGTTCAACAAGGCCTCCTTCAAAACAAAGAAAGAAGGCATTTCAATGAACATCATTCAATGCTATGCGCCTACCAACGATTACAATGAAGACGCTAAAGATCAATTCTACAATAGGCTGCAGTCAATCATCGAGAAGTGCCAAACAAAGAACCTGACCATTCTGATGGGAGATTTAAATGCCAAGGTTGGAATAGACAACACGGACTGGGAGAAGGGAACGAAAATGGTGAGAGATTTGCAAACCTATTTGCCTTCAATAAACTGGTCATAGGCGACACCATATTCTCACATAAGCGCATGCATAAAACCACATGGACTTCACCGGATTACACCACGCAAAACCAAATCGGTCATATTTGCATCAAAAAATCGTTCAGGAGGACTATAGAGGACGTGAGAACCAAGAGAGGAGCTGATATAGCATCAGATCATCACTTGCTGGTCGCCAAGAAGCACTGGACAATGGGGTGGACAATATCACAAAAGCTCAATACGGCCTTTCTTCAGGATACTAACAAACTCAACAAATTCAAGATAGTCCTCAGCAACAAGTCCCAGGCCCTTCATGATCTACTTAACGGAGAAGGAACTACTGTGGAGAGCAACTGGAAGGGGATCAAAGAGGCAATCACTTCAACATGCCATAAGGTCCTGGGTCAAATGAAGCACCATCATAAGGAATGGATCACTCTTGATACACTGGATAAGATTCAAGAAAGGAGGAACAAGAAGGCAGCAATCAATACCAGTCGAACAAGAGCAGAAATAGCCAAGGCACAAGCTGAATACGCAGAAGCAAACAAGCAAGCGAAGATGGGCATCAGAACCGACAAACGTAAATATGTGGAAGATTTAGCAATGACGACGGAAAATGTTGCAAGAGAAGGAAACATGAGACAACTGTATGACACAACAAAGAAACTCTCTGAAAATCGCCGCAAACCAGAACGACCAGTGAAAAGCAAGGAAGGCAAAGTAATCACCAACATTGAAGAGCAACAAAACAGGTGGGTAGAACACTTCAAATAACTCTTGAATCGACCAGCTCCACTGAACCCACCCAACATCGAAGCAGCACCCACGGACCTCCCAATCAATGTTGGCCCACCAACAATTGAAGAAATCAGCATGGCCACCAGACAAATCAAGAGTGGAAAAGCAGCAGGACCAGACAACATTCCAGCAGAGGCACTAAAAGCAGACGTAGTGGCAACTGAAAGGATACTCCATATTCTCTTCAATAATATTTGGGATGAAGAACAAGTACCAAGAGACTGGAAAGAAGGACTCCCGATCAAAATATCGAAGAAAGGCGATCTCAGCAAGTGTGATAACTACAGGTGCGTCACTCTTCTCTCAATACCAGGAAACGTTTTCAACAGGGCATTGTTAAACAGAATGAAGGACTCTGTAGACGCCAAACTTCGAGACCAGCAGTCGGGATTCCGTAAGGATCGATCGTGTACAGACCAAATCGCAACCTACGGATCATTGTGGAACAATCAACTGAATGGAATTCATCACTCTACATCAACTTCATTGACTACGAAAAAGCATTTGATAGCGTGGATGGAACAACACTATGGAAGCTTCTTCGACACTACGGCATGCTTCAGAAGATGGTCAATATCATACAGAATTCCTATGATGGATTACACTGCAAAATCATTCATGAAGGATAATTGACAGACTCGTTCGAGGTAATGACTGGTGTCAGGCAAGGTTGCTTACTTTCATCCTTTCTCTTTTTCCAAGTGATCGACTGGATCATGAAGACGTCAACATCTGAAGGGAAACGCGGGATACAGTGGATATCTAGGATGCAGTTGGACGATCTAGACTTCACAGATGATCTGGCCCTTCTATCCCAAACGCAACAACAAATGCAGGAGAAGACGAACAGTGTGGCAGCAGCCTCAGCAGCAGTAGGTCTCAATATACACAAAGGGAAAAGCAGGATTCTCCGATACAACACAGCATGCACCAATCCAATCACAATTGACGGAGAAGATTTGGAAGATGTATAAACCTTTACATATTTGGGCAGCATCATTGATGAACACGGTGGATCTGATGCAGATGTGAAGGCGCGGATCGGCAAAGCAAGATCAGCATATTTACAACTGAAGAACGTCTGGAACTCAAAGCAACTGTCAACACAAATGTCAAGACAGTTCTACTGTATGGGGTAGAAACCTGGAGAACTACGAAAGCCATCATCCAGAAGATACAAGTGTTTATTAACAGTTGTCTACGCAAAATACTTCGGATCCGTTGGCTGGACACTATTAGCAACAACTTACTGTGGGAGAGAACAAACCAGATCCCAGCGGAGGAAGAAATCAGGAAGAAGCGCTGGAAGTGGATAGGACACAGTGAAGAAAGCACCCAACTGCATCACAAGACAAGCTCTCACATGGAATCCTCAAGGTCAAAGGAAAAGAGGAAGACCAAAGAACACATTACGCCGGGAAATGGAAATAGATATGAGAAAAATGAACAAGAATTGGATGGAACTAGAAAAGAAGGCCCAGGACAGAGTGGGTTGGAGAATGCTGGTCGGCGGCCTATGCTCCATTGGGATTAACAGGCGTAAGTAAGTATAGGTAAATTGATCTCCTTATTCACACCGCCATCAGAAATTACATATCTACCTGGACACACGAACTTTTCGACTACATCTAATTACTCACTATCATGAATGAGTACAGGTACAGGCTCCCATCCGCCTTGCAAAAGTACTTCGCACCTAAAAAGCACAAAGCACGTGACATACCTACGAACACTGATTGCGTGCGAATTGCATGGCTTAAGTATCATCGTAGAGTAAGACTATCATTCGCGTAGTCAGAGTCAAGACGTCTTTCTACGGGTAACAGATCCAAACAACTTACGTCCGTTAGAGATATTTCCGGAACGTCGTCGATGGTAAAATTGAAGAGGAAACAAGCTGAAATACACCCTGACTCATTTGGTATTAAAGTTGACGGTAGAAAACGCTCAAACCACTTAGGACGTATAAAAGGCGCGTGATAGAGATTAATATTCAGTCCAAAAAAAAACGCGTCAACTAACTTAATAAAAATAATCTAATGAATATAAGTTTAAAGTCATGGATGGTTTGTTATATTCTTATCAAAATCACATAAAAAATGACAAACCGGTTAATTTTGGTGGCGAGTAGGAATAAATTTGTGAGGGATCTCTCTATATAAACAAGCTCAATATGAGATAACCATTTAGAATTGTCAACAATGTGCATGGGATTACCTACAACAATGACTTAAAACATGTAAATGTGTGTTAAACAAGCCCATATGAATAAGTGAGCGATGAAGTGATAAACAACTTGAGTTAACAAGAAATGCATTACTTTTCCTAAGAGACAGAGATACACATTTAAATGATGGCCTAAGCATATAGCAGACATTTGATGTAGGCAATAACCACGAAGCTCAGGAGTCAAAATCAATCCGATGTTCTGTTCCCGTGACGCAATCTGAAATATATTCAGGAACACAATCGAAATAGGAATGATCAATGGTAAATGCAGTTGCAATAGTTAACGTTTTTGGAAGTGTATTTTGGATCAACATTAGTTCATGTTCTGAAATAAATATATTTATGGGACATGAATTAATGCTCGTCTGCCATCTTTCAAGTTGTATTCATATGCAGCTAGTTAGGGTTGTAGATTAAATGTGATTCGGAACATCAAAAATCCTTTTACAGAGACATCTATTGCATTTAGGTACTGTATCTGCAACAGAAAATACAGATGTTTGATTTAAAACTACTCTACCAAGAGTAATGATTGCCAGATGGAATAGATTCAGCTACATAATAATGATGTTAATGTGGACCGAAAAACTACCGACGTAATTTCTGACAAGAGGCGAAGAAACCAAGTACTTATCACGTTTAATATCTTCTTCATGCCCTACTACTAGATATCACGACCGAAAAAGAGTATGCTACGTAATGATAGTCAGTAAAAGTGTACAGATATCCCAGAAACTTATGCAACAGATACCTGAAGAAAAAAATCTAAAAGTCGTTTTTTTTACTTACCTTTAAGGAGAAAGACGACTGGAAATTTTAGAGTCAATTGCGTCAATAAAGAAAACAAGAAGCATCCAGGCATTAGGTTCAATATGGAATCAATAAACTCATCGTAGACAACAATTGGTAATTTTCGTAACTCTGTAGGGTTTCCCAAGTTTGTCAGTTTACATAAAAGTAAATCTAACGGGACCTTTATTCGAAGATGTCTGGATATACGTAAACTACCAACCTGATTTTGAGAAAACTTTCTCTGAAATGCCCTGTTACCCCCTATATTTATAGCAGTATGTATGTGACTGGTATTATATACCATAAACGAACGCGAATCCAGTAAGATAACCTACACTAATAAATAAGTAATCACAAATACCTTTTGATTGAGTCGTATAGCTTCATAAATACTGGAAGCTTCTGTGTATATCACCTTTCTTTCCAATGCACCTAGGGCATCCATGGAAAGAGCAGGGGGAAAGTTGTCAAAGTGTCATATCCCAGAACAAGGTGTATTTTTTCAAATGCACTACACCCAACACATTCAAACACCGCGGGCTAGAGTACATGTAATCACTGGGTTATAAAAAAATAGTAGGTCACTTAAGCTGCAATAATCCTCACATGCAGTATTTCTGTGAAGGTACAGCTTCTCCAAAAAAGTCTTCACTGATTATCTTAACATTGTTTTTGTAAGGCATTCCAGTAGCTGACCACTCGGTGCGATAAATTGGATCACCCTTAGTTGTTTAATCTTTTCTGACGAATTCACAAGTGATAAATCATGAAAACAGCAAAAAAAACAAGACGTTCTAAGATCCCAATTGTTAACTAAATTCTGTGGTACCAATCCAAGATTTTTAAGTGTTATTCAATAACGAGAATATATCTACTCAGTGGTCGCTCTTCGTGGGTAAGATTTGAAGGACCTGTCATCAAAATTGTTCTGGTTCATTGGACACGAATAAACATTTCTTAATCAACAGTAGAATACGAAATGGCTAACTTCATATAGTATTCTGGGTGTGGTCTCACATACGTGGGTATGAGATCGGAATCATTTCTTCGTTGTATACTCTGCAAAATGACACCGGGATGCAAACATTTTCAGCAGTAGTTACATAGCGCTGTGCAGCTTTTTAATTCATAGCTTGAAGATACTCAAAGATCCCTCTCTTCCTGAACTTTGGGATGTGGAGTTGAACTGTTCGTATACTAGTGACTATTGCTGTGACTTTTATGTGCTTATTCGCTTTTTCTGTAATTAACCACCAAACTCCGAAATCGATAAGGATTATTCTAGATAGGCATTTAAATTGAGCTGACTTTTATCCCCATTTATCATCCTCTGAATCTTCAGGTCATCTACAAATCGACTTTCAGCCGACTCATCCATTCGTTGATTAACTAATACAGGGGACCAAAGCTAGTACCTTGTGCCACACCATTTTTGACACCTTTCCGTCTAGTGATGTGACGAGATAAAAAGGCGACATTAAATTCTTCTACTCATTGTTCAATATGACTTCCATTTAGATTCAATGTGACGATTACTCAGTGTAGTATTTATTTTGTTTTTCCCGTATGATATTTTATTCTGTATAACATACGATATTCTTGTACTAAGTTAATATGGACTATACTCAGCATGACATGTAGCATATGATTTGTTGTAACTCTAAGTATTTTTCATATGTGTGATTTCATCCTAACTATTGATAAAAACGGGTGTACAATCAATATATAAATGAATGCATTTTCGACTAGAGTTATCTTCGTGTTTTGGGGTTAGCAAATCGCCACTTCAACTAGTCTGTGCTATTACCTTTGCATCGTGGGAATTGCAGTTGTTCCTCGTCTTCCAAGTATAGATGATAATCAATCCAGATATGACAAGTGACGACAGTCATAACAGCCGATCACTAGTTATAACACCTAGATGACCTCTTATTTAGTATTTTCACATACAAAGTGAATTTCTTACCCACTTTTTCACTGATTGTTATTACAAAGTTGGAACGCTTCTGCACAAGTCCTTAGTGAGACACCTTGTCGAGTCTCTTGCTAGAACCTATGGATATGACTTAAGCGGTTATATCACTGCGCTGGACTTCTGTTAAGTTCATGCTCATTACACAGGTTAGTCAACTAGGGACATCTCTGACTAGATCCGCGTTCTCCTAAAATGAAAAGATTTTGTAAGTTTACGTGAATAAGCAACTGAATCTGAATTATTATGTTTAATGGTTTAATCATTATGCTGTTGAGGCTGACGAGTAGGTGGTTGTCTGTCCATACAAATAAAACTGACGAAAACACCCTTTTATCGCCTTGAGAGTTCTGTTTGTGAGAACGATATAGTGAGCAGATCCACCAGCTCTCCAGGGAAAATGTCTTCAAGGGTTGATCTCACTGGTTGATGTAGTCTATCGAGACCTGGTGACTGACCAGGCGTTAGTGAGTTAATAGGAAAACATTTCCTTTCTGTTAGAAAACCAGCATCTTAGGGATGGCCTAATAATGTAAGTGCCGACAGAGTAAACGTCAGTGTTTCGATTTGGTTATCCCGTAAATCCAATCCCTATCTTATGAAAACGATCGTTTTGGGTAGATTCATCCTCATTTGTTAATTGTCTCGTATAGTCGACGAAACGTTTTAAAGCGGCTGTCTTATGCGCGTTTCAAAGTTTATGGTACTTAAACATGAACATTTCACAGCAGATAGGAAGAACAAATTCAAAAATTGTTTTATACACTTAGCTTTAAAACTTGTTTACCTGTTTACGGTGGGGATACATCAGTGTGCGTGGAGTTAGCTGAAGAATGAAAGGGTTTATGGCTTTTGGAAAAACGTCTTGATAATGATCGCAATTATGTGTCAAAATTTGGTCAGACAATGACCGTTAATGCTGTGAGTTAAGACACATGGCGCATGGACATCTCCATAAACTAAACACCTATAATATCCAGTGTATTTTTAAATACGTTTTGTGATTTCTTTGCTCTCGTTTCCTGTTATCGCGGTATGGTTTTAGGCCTTTATACTTGCCGTACGTATAAGGCCTAACCTGTAGAGAAGTCACCACCTTATATTTTCGTAACAACGGAACGAAACTGAAAGTTACGAGGTGCATGAAAAGTAGTGAATTTCAAGAAATGTGACCTCGGATATATTACTGAGACTTTATAGCTAGGCCATTCAGGTAGGATCACCGTAAATAACCTCTTTTAACGTTGAATATATGTTTTTCTATGGGTCAGCATATTCGAGGTTTTCAAAGGTTCATGCAAACAAAATCACTAGCTGTTAGGATGGGGACAAGCTAGAATACAAAATCATGTTACCTCGAAGCAGAATGACGTAGATTAGGCAGTTGCAGGATGAGGAGTTAGTCCAGTGCCAGTTGATGCCAAGTGATTTCCGTATCGCTGCAGCTGATGACCATGTCGGTTTTAAAACAAACATGCCTCGTAGTGATCATAGTAGAATCAGCACCACTTAAGAACCATGTTTCTGTAGGAGATACGGATCTCAATCTTTTTTACTAGGGAACCTAATCAAGACATTTTATTTCCTGGACAACAAATGACACTGCGGAATGCCTTTAACATATCTTGTCTTGGAAGCACTTAACATCGTATCTTCACCAACTGAAAACCTTGGTTTAGTGTTTTTTTCTCATCCCAGTCGAGTACGTAACTGAGCGAGACTCAGTCTTCTTATCGGACAAACATCAAATATCCAGTCCAGTTACATACATAATTTATTATCACAAACTTTATGCGTGTTTCTTTGTGGAAGGAGTAAATTGATAAGTTTCATTTTCTTCTTACTAGATGTGGTAGATAAAAGTTTTTCCCAGTGATTAGGTTCTTTTGGATTATCTTATGTTTACTTGTGTAGAAAGAATTCAAGAAAAGACACTTGAAAACGTCCATGGAATTGTGCCGAAAAATATATTTACCTCACCAGATACAATTGGCCCTTTTTTATGAAGTATATCAAGATAAAGCGGGAATGTTATAATCACCATACACTATACCATTCTAATAGATCACTTCAACATTTTAGTTATAGACAGCGTAATTAGCTGATTTCATCATTTTATTGAGTACCAAAAAGCGATCCAGGAATAAAACGTCTCCAGTCGCGGAAATAAACTGTTCGTTTATTCATCATCAAAAACTTCATTCTTTCGTGGGATCACAAAGACAGGGGGCAGTAAAGACTTTTCAAAGGCACTGAACCCAGCTTCAAATACGCCGCTTGTAGTTATGTCTAAAAGCATCCGTCTGTCTGTGAGAGGAAACTAAACAATCTAAGTCATATCATTTAAATTCCTTAGCAATTTAGCCCTAAGCTTTTCAACCTTCTAATTAGCTTAGATCCCATAGGTCCCACAACTTCATTCTTCCAAAGTTAACTATGTCGGACAGAAACTGATCTGTCTGCAATGTTAACGATGACTTCGAAATCTCGACATAGCAAAGCTGCAATGCAATCACTAAAATCGCGCCAATTAACCGAAGATTGGATTTGCGCTTGACTATTGTTTATCTTGGTGTCCGCATGTTCCATCTAAAATTTTCTTACACCACCTTTCAGAAGTAATCTGATGAAGTTTCAGTAAAAATAAATGTAAGTTAAAATTCATGTTTAAATGTCCACCCAAACTTCACCCGCAATCCGGAACGCCTTTAGGCTGACGTAGTGATTGGTGTAACGGAAAGAGAACAGTGAAAATCCCTCTGCAGCTTCTTTGTTGAACAGTATTTTCATTTATTTGTTCCTTCTCTCTTTTGTGTATTCCAACCTTTGTTTCGACCTCGTTTAACCATGTCTTTTGTTCTTCAGTCTTCCCCGTTTGAGCCTTTATTATGTGGTTTTGGTTAAAGACTTATTTTTGTAACCTAATTTTTTATTGCATGTTGCCGGACCATTGACAGTATGGTTGTGTTTAACTAAGCTCAAGGTCACGGCGCGGTTCAGTTAGTGACTGTTAACCTTCTGACTGACTGCTTGGGAGAACTGCAGATAGATATTTGATCCCATCTTATTGGGAATATTTGTATTGATTCTCAGGTATCAAACCCTTTAGTATTAACTGTCTCTTTCATTGTTTAGCGCACTACTTTGCGTTAGAGAAACTTCTGACTGTATAGCACAGGCTGAACCGTTTGAGGTATTTTGTATTTTTGATGTAATTTATTATGTTTTCTTAATTAGAACCGTTTATATTGAACACAGAGTTTGTGTTTTGATATAATATAATACGAGTATCTCAAAGACGCGTTGTGAGCTATACAGAGGAACTTGGTCTGGTCTAATCGAATAAATTTTGGGTTCGTCAGTCCGTTGTTCCATCCGAATATTGGTTGTTCGGCCGATACAACTGATCTATATTCAATAATTTTCTCACAATACTCATATAACACTTGTAATAAACACTTATTGTCTCCCTCATATTCATCATCCATCATGAAATATCTAAATAGTATGCTTAAAAGTCTGCGAATTTAGCTAACAAGGAAACTATGCTCTCAGAAAATTGGTA